AATATATGAAAGTTTCATTTTTATCATTACATTATGGAAAATAATGACCTTTATCACAATATGCTAATTTTTTTTGAAGGACCTGTACAAACTGCACTGGCAGCACTCTAAAGGCTCCCACATACTCGCGTGGACCTCAGTCCGTGGAGGTTCGCGCGTACCGGATTAGACTCAACATGGATGCCCTCAAGCCATGTTCATGCAAAGATCAATTTTTATGACCATGTACGCATAAATGGAGTCGCACAATAAACGGCCCGGTGATGGACCGTTTTGTATGCGACACCAATGTATTAAATTCCCCTTCTTCACCCCTGATCTGGTTTAATGGCCTTTACTTTTGTCTTTTTTTTTTTCCAAAAGGCAAGCGATCTCTTCTTCCTCTGTTGACTCCATGACTGAAATTGTGAGAAATTAAGGAATTTGTCATGAGAGAATTAAAATCAGGTCCATGGTGGCTGCGGGAGGGTCTGGAGATTTCTCGGTGGGCCGGTCTGATGTGTGGGCTGCAGGGTCAGCGCTCCCTTTTTTAATTTTTAATTTAATTTAATGTTTTTAGAACTTTTTATTGACAACATATACTGTAAGCACAGAACACTGCTGCGGCTGGGGCTGCCAGCTCTCATATTTTATTTTTTTTTTGGTTTGTTTGTTTTTTTGCGACCTGTCAATCAATCCAGTAGGTGTTTCAGCAAATGACCAATTGGCGACTTCAATTCGTCCCGAAGGTAAACGCCCCTTGCCTGCGAAGCTAACTGCAGCCTCTCATTGTGGACGCTCGAGTATGAAGTCTCAACCGTCTGCGGACAGTGCGCACAGTGTCTGCACGGCTCACCGAACGCCCGAGTCTGTGGGAGCCTTAAGGTTGTCATGCCAATATTCTTGACTGTATGACTGTAAAAATCAATCCACACACTCTATGGATCAGTGAATACTGTTCAACAGCTATCCTTTTCTTGACTTGGGAATATTTTATTTAACTTTTTAAAGTAACAAACAATTTACAAACAACTACAAAGTATACAAGGCATTTCATTCACTGAAGGAATGCACTTCGCCTGCTGCCTTTCATTCAGTTTCTTCCTCTGGTTGTTCTCTTTTCAAAGAGATCACAACAGCAAGTTCTCCTCCTCCACAGGCTAACAGCTACCCAAACAAGGGTCTGTTTTTTTTTATATTTCCTTTTTTTGCCTTATAAAACAACCATTTATCAAAAACAATATAGGCCTACAGATGTGAAACCATGCCACACTGGCTCATATGCAACCTCTGCAGTTTTGAGTGACATTGTTTGTTTGTAGTTTGTTGCTGTTTGTAACAAAACATTTGTGTTACAGTATAAATGTATGTGTTCAGAGTAAAACGTACATATTTATGGTACTGATGACAGATGGATAGTTATATGTCAATACTGTTGAGGCAGCTAAATGTATCAGTCTACTTGGATAGTTGTTGCAAAGGTTTAGTCAACTTCTGAAAAACGTATACTGTCAGCAGCCTTGCAACCATTGGCAAATAACTACATTGGATTTAGAGCTCTTTAAAATTCTTGAGGATTTATTCAATTTAAAGAGCCATCCGATTATGAATTGTTAGTCATGTCACAGCCGTACATTGTGACTCACCAAGAGTTCATCGTTCATTTTAAAGAGCTGTGCAAAAGATTTGGTTTGCTGTGAACATCACATAATCTACGTTTATCTCTGTGTATTAACACAAACGTTGGTCTGTTGATAAAACAGCCTTCATCTGAACATGGTCATACAACATTTCAGAGGTTTAATATTAGATATACAACACAATACTCCATTCTTTATGACTGATGTCATGCCTGGGAAGATACTAACTACAGAACATCACTTCAAAGTTGACTGGATTATCCTTTTATACAATGTCAGCACAGGTTACTATTAACAAAATGACTTCTGACATTTGAAAAGCAATTTAGAATTGACCGTTTCTGTTATCCCACCCCCCACCCCCCCACTCCACCACCACCACTACACACACACACACAAAACAAAAAGAACTATTTGGCCAGTACTATGTGTGACAATTGCTCTCCCACTGAAAGAGGTTTTTCAGATTTGCCATGTTTCAGTCACTTTCTGAAAAGTCATAGAGAGCATAGAGGGATGCCAAGTCAGTGTGAAGAAATGAGTTATTAAGTTTTTAATGAAACAGATTAAATTCTTGTTTGTTCACACTCAAATTTAAGTAACCCTGTCCACTTCAGCATCAGGAAATATAACAATTATGTTCTCTTTCATCTCACCTGGACACAACCAGAGGCAAAATTAACATCTTCAGCATCCTCATCAGCAGCTCTCCAGGAAACTGAAAATACTTCACCTCCTGCAAGCAGAAGAAAACAAAAACACATTTAATATTTTATTGTATTAATAGTCGTTTTTAACCAACCACTCTGTCGTTACGCTGTTGTTCTGAATCAAACTGTAAACAAAACTAAATATTGCATCCATCAATAAGATATCGAGAGGTCTTGTTGAATGGGCCCACAGATTTTCCCTCCCACATCTTGTGCCCTAGTTTTCATTATAAAAGAGACTTCTGTTTTCATCATTGGTTTTAGAGAAAGAGACTGAACAAAAAATAAAAACAAAACAAACAAAAAAAAATAGAGAGAAAGGATGATTTCCTTGAAAGTTCCCCAGATTTTTTCTGATTGTTGACTGCCTGAGTACTTTTCAGCTAAAGCTTATTTTCTGCTTCCTGTCAACAAGGATCTACAGTATGACCTTCAGCAATCATAGTGAGCATGTTGTTCAGAGGAAAGTTGCTTTTTTCTGACAGCTGTTTTTTCAGAAAAAAAAAATCACTGACATGACGGTGCTCAAAAATATGTTAGCAATTTTCAACACCTTTGCAAAACATGACCTTAAACATACTTAGACTTTTATGCAAATCCTCAAAATGAAAGAAGACTATCAAATGACACAACTTTGAGAAAACTGATTCCACTGATCTCCACAATGATATAAAGCCCGTGCAATAATCTTAAGCCAAAATGTTTTCTTCGGGTTCTTCAGCCAGGTTTCTTTTAATCATTCAAATGTGTTTGAGCTTTTTAAATGTCTCTCAGAATTTTTATTTGAATAAAATTATCTTGAACCAACCCAATTTTCTTCATGGGCATCCATGCATCATTTGCATAATAATGTCTTTTTATATTAGTCTCAAGCCAATTATCTCTGATTTATGAATCCTTTAGGCATAAAACAGTTCCAAAACTCAAAGAATAAACCATTTTGTGTTGACACACAATAAAAAATTCATCAAAGAAGCTCATTTTTATTCACTTTGTTGCTAGTACCCTGTAGCCAAAACACAGGTGTGCTCATTACTTTAGGTAAATCTCTGAGAGTGTGGGTAACAGTTTGCCTGTCAGGCATGAAATGGTATTTTAGTCAAACAAGGTGACTTTCAATAAATTTGGTATAAAGTTGACAAATTCTCTGTTTTAAATGCAATTTTTATATATATATATATATATATATATATATATGATTTGCTCTCCAAGTCCTTCACAACAATTTTTATATGTAGATCAGTTTGGATTCTTCAAAACATTTATTTCTACTTTCATTTTTCTTTTCTTTCTTTTCTTTTTTTTAATCATTTTATACCAAGTGGTTGTTGCAGAACCCTTTATTTAATGGAAGAGAACTGAACTGTGTTCAATTACCAAAAGTAATTGGTCCCACAGGCAAAACTAAAAGGCTGATAAATGTCAAAAGCAAATAAAATCATTCCAATAAAAAGAAAAACCAACACGTCAACAAACAAACAAACTACTATATAGGTCATTTTGGTAGCACGACCAAAAAATTCTGAAACCATGAAGCATTTATGATGGATATTTTTGATTAGTTGTCATTGACTGACCCTTCTACAAAAGTGAGATCTTATATAGTCTCACCAGATATTTAGCAGCAATATGCTCTGCATCTTGAACAGTCACACTTTTTTTATGATGATTTTATCCTCTAGTTCTTACCAAATAAATTAAATTATTATTATTATTATTATTATTAAAAATAATTTTGTAAATTACTTTTGTTTGAATATATTCTGGGGAAAAAAGGGGCAGATATCATAAGATTTATTCTTCTGCTGCCTTTCATTTTATTTTTTGATTATATATATATTGTTTGTTTTCTATTGTATATAGGTTTTTTGTTTTTAATGAAATAATACATTTCTAAATAAATTTAAAAATATATATGTGTTTTCCTCCTGAGATGCTCCATTGAGCTCTAGCCATATACTTTATGTCAGCTGATATTACCACTTACATTCACAATCACACCACAAGTGCTGCAAAAGCACGACTCATTTACTTTCAACTACAAGCTAGGAAAAAAATAATTCTTATGCTGATGATAGTTATATTTGTCCATGAAACATGATGAATCCAATCAGTTACTTAGACTACAAGCATGTCTTAAAGACATAAAAACCTGGATGACTCTTAATTTTCTAGTTTTAAACACGGACAAGACTGATGTTGTGGGTTTTGGACCTGAGCATCTTAGGAATAAACTTTGCAGCCTTTCACTTCCTCTAGATAGCAATAATTTGGCCTCAAGTTCTAAAATTCAAAACCTTGGTGTTATTTTTGATCAGGATATGTCTTTTAACCCTCACATTAAAAACATTACCAGGATAGCTGGGGTCGGCTTGGGTTTCCTGAGCTATCTCTTAGTTATGCTGCTATAGGCTTGAACAGCTGGAGGACAAACTGACTACACTTCCTCACTCTGCTGCTGGCTTTACTTGTTCTCCTCTCTTTGTATTTGTAATTATTTCTATCCTTAACACGTGTTTTTTTATTATGTTTTTTCAGTAACGCTTTAGGCTCCCCTTATAGATGGCTAATAAATAGTTTATAGATAAATTATTAATTATTCTATAAACATTTTATAAATGATTAATAACTGTTTATTATGTATTAATTAAGGGTGACAGAGACAAAACTGACCAGTTTCTTGCCAAATAGTGAGCCAAATCTGTTCACCTATATATTTCATCTAGAGTTGTTATATTAAACATTTCAGACCAAGTTACTACCTTGTAAGCACAATAAGCATTTATAATCTATAAGGGAAGGCGCATTGTAAAGTGGCACCCTTTTGTTCCAATAGAAAGTACAATTGAACCTGTCATTCTGTGTTTGTTTGTTTCTCCGTCCTGTTCTCTCAGCAGGTCGAAGCAGATAACTGCTTGTCCTGAGCCTGGTCCTGCTGGAGGTTTCTTCCTGTTAAAAGGGAGTTTTTCTTTTCCACTGTGGTCTTTGTGCTTGCTCAGGATGAGGGACTGTGACAAAGTGAAGATTCAACACAATCTGCTGGCTTCCTTAGATACATAACTTTTGCTAATCAGTTTTTCTATGTATGTGAATGTTTCCGATCAGTGCCCTGAGATGACTTCTGTTGTGACCTGACGCTGTAAATAAACTGAACTGAATTAAAATAGAAAATACTGCCACACTAGCAGGATGCTTCTGCTACTGGCGTCGCATCTCTGTTCGCTTGTTTCCATGATCTGGTCATGATCCAAATAATTTTCCTCTATACGGTATATTGGATGTTTCTGGGCCTCCGCCAACAGTTTCAACCTTGCTGTGGTGGAATAAACACTATTCAGCAAAATCTAGACCACATCTGTCTTTCTTCCTTCTTGTACAGCTGCCAATGACAAGAACAGTTGCTTTTTGTTTTGTGCCCAAAAGACAAAATGATGAGTGCTGAATGTCGTGTGGTATTTATTGGCACGTGGACTGGGCATTTTGGTGAAAGCATGGTACTGGTTGTATGAAGAACAGTGGCAGGACACAATGTGCATAGCACTGCCAAGAGCGTCGCTATAACTTATTTAGAACACCACAAATGTGGTGTGGGTGCGATGGGGTCATAACCTAGGCATGAAGTTCTAGTTCATGATCTAGGACATCATATCCAAGCAATGTGAAGTCCTGCTTCAAATTCTCAACCAAATTACCGTATGACAATACACATGAACCCCATGCAGCAACTGCAACTGCACTACTACTCCACTCGGGACCTTAATACACTGCAATCACTATGACAAACCACCACAACCTCACTCAACCTTGTTAGATTTATCTACCTGGTTTATTGAGCATGCATCAGGACAAAGATCAGCACAGTTTGAGTCTCAGGGTCTTGTAAGACAAAAGCAATGCAAGAAAAATGCAGAAAACTTGAGCACCTAGAGGAGATAAAGAAACGGAATGTGTCAAAGGCTCCTGTAAAGATCTATCAAACAGGGCTGTATTGAAGGTTATGATATGCAGCCTCACATTAGGCAAGACAGAGAACCTAAACGTCTTAATCCTTCTAGCCCTCCATTTGTTTTTCAGCCAGCTCAAACACCTCATCTGGCCAAAACCACAGTTAATCCTCGTGTTCAAATGACTCACCCTCAACCAGTCCAAACATTCATGCCACCACCTCATGATCTGTCAGTCACAACACCCATACCCATACACAGAACTGTTCTGATCTGGTTAGTGCGCTGAGGCTGTAAGTGCCAATCACCTGCCAACACCAGAATCAACATTACTCACAGAAGATTACCAGAAACTTAAAGACTGACAGCTGTCCTTTAAGACATTTACCAAAACAATTCAAAACTATTATCTGAGGATGTACTTAAGAGCTTTGGCAAAGAAAGCTGTTGAAGGATTCTTCTTGCTTGGTACAGAAACAACATACGATTCTGCCTGGAAACTGTTAGAAACGTTTTGGAGATACATTCATGACTGGAAAGGCCTTCAGAGACAAGTTAAAGGCATGGCCAAAAATAAACTCTGGACAGCAGAGATCCACAAGAGTTTTCAGACTTTCTCAAGAGCTATTACCCCAAATTAAAACCCTGGAAGTTCTTAACAATTGTAATAAGCATCCATCCATTATCTTTTACCCGCTTCTTCCATTTTGAGCCACGGGGGTCACCGGTGCCCATGTCCAGCAATCACTGTGTGAGGAGTGGAGTGCACCCTGCACAGGTCGCAAGTCCATCACATGACACACAAGACAAACAAGACAAACAACCATTCACCCTCTCACTCACATCTAGAGACAATTTAGAGTCACCAATCAGCCTAACATGCATGTTTTTGGTCTGTGGGAGAAAACCGGAGCACCCGGAGAAAACCCACACATGCACAGAGAGAACATGCAAACTCCACTCAGAAAGGCCTCCGGACCGGGATTTGAACCAGGGACCTGCTCACTGAGAGGCAGTAGATTTTGTAATAAACATATATATTTAAAAAAAAATGTACAAAAATATTATGCAGTTCAGTGATA